TTTGGATTCAAATGCACTCATGCTGATCCATCTCTATTTGTTTATCTTCATGGTGGTGATGTGATATACTTGCTGCTATATGTTGACGATATGCTGCTCACTGGCAATAATGAGGAACTCATTAAGAAACTCATGGTCACTTTGAATGGCACTTTCCGGATGAAAGACATGGGTCCGGTTCACTATTTCCTTGGTATTCAAGTGAAGGAATGTGAAGGAGGATTGTTTCTTTGCCAAGAGAAGTATACTAAAGACCTGTTAGAGGCGGCAGGAATGGCTTCTTGTGATGCTGTTGCCACACCTTTACCTCTCCAACTGGACAGAGTAGTAGGCCAGGACAAGGTATTTGATCAACCTACTTACTTCCATAGCCTTGCGGGAAAGCTTCAGTACCTTACTCTCATGAGACCGGACATCCAGTATGCTGTTAACTACGTCTGCCAGAAGATGCACGCCCCTACTGTTGCAGACTTCACCAACCTGCGCCGTATTCTGCGTTACCTGCGCGGTACAACTACTCTGGGTCTGATGATCAATGCAAAGTTAAGCTTCCTTCTCTATGGGTTCAGTGATAGCGACTGGGCAGGTTGTCGCGATACTCGGCGATCCACTGGAGGTTTTTGTACGTTCATTGGTTCAAACATAATATCTTGGTCGGCTAAGAGACATCCCATGGTTTCAAGATCTTCTACAGAGGCTGAGTACCGTACGTTGTCATTGAATGCTACTGAGCTTAAATGGCTTGCTTCTCTGCTGGGTGAAATGGGGATCTCTCTTCCTGACACGCCCCAATTGTATTGTGACAACTTATCTGCTGTGTACTTAACTGCAAACCCGGCACTCCACAACCGCTCTAAACATTTTGACACTGATTTCCACTATGTTAGGGAGAGAGGTGCATTGGGAGCTTTGGTTGTGAATCAGATACCAGCTGCTCAACAGCTAGCATACATTTTCACTAAGTCTTTGCCTCAACAACCATTCTGTCTTCTCCGGGACAAACTTGGTGTTATGGAGCCTCCCACCACAAGTTTGAGGGGGTGTATAAGCCCAAGTAAGCAAAAGGCAATTGGAGCAGATCAGGCCTCAACACAGTCTCAGCCTTTCAAGCCCATATCTGAAGAGAGTAACGGTAACAAAGGGATGAGACTGAGGACGTCAAAAGGTGGTCTTCGTACGGGTTCTTCAGCGGAAGAGATACAGCTGGCTAACCGTTTTGATTCCTTAAAGATGTGTGCAGTAACATGCTGAGCTGTGCCCTAGCTGCATCAGTCTCTTGTCTCTTCCTTCACTATATATTGTACGCTTCTCTTTCGTTGTAAGTAAGCAAGATAAGACTAATAAGAAAGCTATCTTCTTCCTCAAGTTACCTTTAGTTTCCTTGAGCTTTCAAGTTTTGTCCCTGACCCTGACTCATATTTCGGCTTTTGTATTGATGAAATGTTTCTCGCTGAATCTTTTCGGTAGAGAAATGCATTGTCCGGCGACCAAGTTCGTCCCAAGGTGTCGTCTCCTGGTCTGATTTTCTTGCCTCCTACGTTTAATCTGTAAACCGTGTGCATATTCTTGTACGTCTCGGTTACGTCATTAGGAGCAGAGAACACTTCAATGGCGTTGACGAGAGCAACAGAGTACCGGTCCGGCACGAACTGGATTTGGAGTTTTGGCGAGTGAACCATCAGGAGAAACTCTTCAACGCGTGGTGTCTCGTTGAAGTTCTGAAGCGAGAAACTTTTCAAGGGACGGTTAGAACCGGAAGTAGCGGAGACAGTGAAACTCGCAGTTAAAAGCTCTGTTCGGGAAGAGTGAGCGGAGAAATGGAGACGCAGGAAGTGTAGACCAATGGAATCGAGTTGGAAGTTGTAATAAGAAGGGCGTCTGAAGATCCTAGCCGTCCGATAGATTTTCGGCGCAGTGGACGGTCCAGATTTGTTGATGACTTCAGTTCCTTCTGTGGTGAAGGAAACGAAGTTAGCACCTGAGGAGGTCATGTCTCCAACAAAAGTCCGACCAGCATAAGTGACGTTGGAATCTGACCCACAGTTGATGTAAAATTTGTCGGGACGACGAGAATATGTAGACGTAGCAGAAAGTGTGAGATGAGGAGGAAGAAGTAGAAGAATAACCGCCATTGACACAAAGAGGGAAACAGAGTCTTGGAAACAGAGAGTTTCCATAGCTTTGTTGGAGAGAAAGAATAGTGAAAGACAAATATTATGTTTGAATCTAGGTTGCATGGAAACTCCGTTCAAGTTCCGTTTCCTGTTTCAGAAACGTTTCGGAACCGGAATCTCTTGGAAACTCGAGGAAATTCTTTGGAAACACATGTCTTGAAAATTTCATTTTGGAAACACGATGGAAACTTGTATTTCTGATCTGGAAACTCGCGATTTTAATTTGGAAACTCGCGATTCTAATTATAAACACAAAAATAACTATTTGACATTTGATGTTAATGATTACATGTTTATTATTTTATATTTTAATATTATCTTTTGATATTTGTTATCATTTTAGTATAATAATTTGATTTGGAATGAAGTCGCTCAATAGTTTTATCAATGATAACATGTGTTACTTTTCTAGTTATTGATAATAATTTTAATAAAATGTACAAAAAAATACTTATATTACTTAATTTTTTCTCTTAGATAAATCAAACAAAAAAACTTACATGTTGATTAATCATAAATATATTATAGACGTTTCTAAAACGTTTCCATTTCTAATTTTTTTGAAAATCATGTTTCCACGTTTCGAAACGTTTCGTTTCCACATATTCGTTTCCGATTCAATGCAATCTAGGTTTGAATAAACTTTACATTTATTCAAAAAAAAAAAAAAAAAAGGAAAGAAAGACAAGTATTTGAGGTCGGTGGCTGAAGAATAAATGTGGTGTGGCGTGTAGGGGATTGAGGGAATGTTGAGATCTTTTAAGTCATTGGTTGGACAGTAAGTTAAACTCAAAATATCGTTTGTCTTCGTCTTTTGTGGCCGAGAATGTGTAGGCTGCAAGTGGAAAAAGAGTTCAGATTATTGAGCTAATAAAAAATCTTAATAATTGGTCTTACCAAATTTAGTAATATATTGCTGCGGTATGACTATATTAATAAGTCAAAAGTCCGACTATTCTAGCTTCATTTCCCCCCAATATTATCTTTAGCCAGTTATATCATCAACTTAGTTTCTCACAAAATCCAAAACCAACAGGTTTATGTTTTACCTCCAATCAGCTTTTATTACCACCACTGTTTGGTTAACAAATATGCGTCTTACAATGTAAAATATGGACATAAATTATTCTTAAGCAGCAGCATACCAAAAAGATAAGAGCCTGGCCAGTTCACTTCTCCGTGTGTAGCGGAATTGAATCACGAGGAAAACAAAACTAATATCCATTAAATATCTATATTATTAAAACTGAAATACAAAATATAACCAGTTTTATTTTTAATAAATTTATGACATCTCTTTTTCTTATTTTCACTTATCATAACAACTCTATTAATTTCTTCTTTCTAAGAGCATCATCATCGCTTAGAGCTCTCTTAGGATTTTTATTTTTTATTTTTGTTTTCTTATTTTTTTTTTTTACTTTTGTCAGTTTAAAAAAAAAATTAAAAAAAGAATCAATCGTGGGCCGCCACGTGTCGTGAGGTCCGCGTATTGGCACAAGAGTTATTTCTTGCAGAAGAAGAGAGAAGAAAAAGTTTTAAAAAAAATCTGGGACCCATCACCTTAGAGCTGCCATAAGAGGCAGCGACGATGATGCTCTAAATAACTTTATATCATTTACTATAAAAGTACTACAAAATATATTTTACTTACTTTTGTGTGTTTATTATATCTTTCACATTTTAGTTTTTTCACTATTTCAAATTACTTCATTAATTGTATTACCATAATAATTTGACGTCATGTTAATCATAATAATTTTACATGTTTAAATGAAGTTGTTGCATTAGTACAAAAACACAAACTTGTAAACAAAAAAATATGTTTTGCTTACATAATCATGGGCATTCATATACATGTTCATATACAGATCGGTTTTTCAGGTATTTGTTTTTTTTTTTGGATTTAAAAATTATTCAGTTCTGATATTATAAATTTTAGAGGGAATTCAAATTGGATTCTTCCTGAGTTCAGATAGATTCGTAGAACATAAAATTATCTTAATAACCTATATATATGTTAAACAGTGTTACTAAACAATTTATTAAAAGGTAAAAACTAATCTTGTACAGATGCACATATCAAGATCTAGCCCTGTTCGTTATAATTACGCTGCGATCACATCGGGTGATCCAAAAATGATTCATTAAATTAATCAAAAGTAAAGGTAGATAAAAATTAGAGTGACGCTGCAATCAACTTTTACAAGGAATACGGTGGTGTTTCTGCCGCTGGGTAAAATAGCGGCAGTTAATATGATGATGCGACTGTTTTTGAGCGTCTAAAAGTACGGCTGCTGGTGGGTAGTTTCCACATACTTGAACAAGAAGACAGTGATATTTTTGATTGTTAATCGCTGCGTCAACGTCTTCGTAAAGAAAAGGGCTTAATTTTAAACCTCAACAAAGTTGAACCTATTCTCCCATATACATATATATATATATATATATATATATATATATATATTAATACAAACCAAAATCATAATAACAATAAAACGTTAACAATGACCTTTCATATAATTCAAACTCAAACTGTAACACGTTCATATCTTTGAAACATGGCCGACCTATAACTAGTTTGGGAGCCTGAGGTCAAGAAAAGAGAGTGGTTGTTTCTCTGGACAAAAGAAGACTTGGAAGTTTACAAAAAAAAAAAAAAAGACTTGGAAGATATTAAAGTGTGATTTAGTTTGAGCTTTAAAAAACTATTCATCCTTCTTGTTATCACACGATTAATTTCAATTCTTTCTTTCTCCTTGGATGAACACCACATATTTCTTCATCCATTGACCTCAAATACCTCTCTCTCCATCAATTCAAAGCATGGAGAATCTCGGTTTTAGAGACTCTGTTTCCCTCTTTCTGACAATGGTGGTTATAGTTCTTGTTTTTCCTCCTCATCTCACACTGTATGCATATTCTCATCCCGACAAGTTTTACATCAACTGTGGGTCGAATTCTAACGTCACTTATGCTGGTCGGACTTTCATTGGAGACATGGCCTCCGGTGCTAACTTCGTTTCCTTCACCAAGAATGGAACTGAAGCCAGAAACCAATCTGGATCGTCCATTTCTCCGGAAATCTACGGGACGGTTAGGATCTTCACACTCCCTTCTTCTTACAAGTTCCAACTCGACTCTGTTGGTCTACACTTCCTGCGTCTCCATTTCTCTGCTGTCTCCTCTCCGAAAGAGCTTTTAACTGCTCGTTTCAATGTATCCGCTACTTCTGGTTCCACTCATCACTTACAAAGTTTCTCGCTCCAGAACTTCAACGAGACCCCACGAGTTGAAGAGTTTCTCCTCATGATAAACTCGCCAGAACTCGAAATTGGGTTTGTACCTGAGCTCTCATCAGTAGCTATTGTTAACGCCATCGAAGTGTTCTCTGCTCATAATAATAACCTCACAGTTCTGTCAGATTCCGACAAGAATCTGCATACAATCTACAGACTTAACGTAGGCGGCCAGAAAATCACACCGGAACACGACGCCTTGGGAAGAACTTGGTCGCTAGACGATGACTATCTCTACGAGAAAGATTCTTCGAAAAATATTCTATCGTCATTACCAATCTCTGCTCCTGATTTCTTCATTGCTCCTGATTCCGTCTACCGGTCGGCTAAAAAAGTTGAGTTGTATCATCAAGCGACGTTTATGAACGTTACGTGGTGTTTTATGGTTAAAACTAACATTAGACATTTCATCAGGGTTCACTTCTACGATATCAAGAACAACCAATCACAATCCTCCGACTCCGATTTCTATCTCTATGTGAATGGATATTGGCGTATACATGTCAATCCTTTAGATCACAATAGCCATGGGTTAGTGATTCCGTTTTATATCGATATCGTGAATGTCTCTGATGGTTCTGGACTCCTGAATGTTAGTATAGGTAACAAGGTACTCGGTAATGATATTGGTTTTTTGAATGGTCTGGAGATTATGGAGTTTCTGGAGAGATCTGGTTCTGATTCTTCGGGTGGAAGTAGTTACTGGGTGCATATCATCGCAGGTTGTTTTGCTGCTGGATTAATTATCGTCTTGAGTTTATTGTTTATGGTTTTCTTGAAGCGGAGGAGATCAAACAAGAAGAAGAAGGCAGACGCCGAGATCATCTCTGTGTGGTCTCCTTTGCAATTGTACAGAGGAGGTGGGAGTTCCGACAATAGACATTTCTATTCTGACAACAATTCCGCATTAGGTAACTTTCAGTTAGGTTTGAAGATTCCTTACACAGACATTTTGATAGCTACAAACAATTTCGACGAGATGTTGTTGATCGGGAAAGGCGGTTTTGGAGATGTTTACAAAGCCATTCTTCCGGATGGAAGCAAAGTGGCTATCAAGAGAGGCAAGACTGGTTCAGGACAAGGCATACTTGAGTTTGAAACAGAGATTCAAGTCTTGTCAAGAATCTGGCACAGGCATCTCGTTTCACTAACGGGTTACTGCAAAGAGAACTCGGAGATGATCCTTGTCTACGAGTTTATCGAGAAAGGTACGCTTCAGGAGCATCTATACGGCTCGGATTTGCCTTCATTGTCATGGAAACAGAGACTGGAGATTTGCATCGGAGCATCCAGAGGACTGCATTATCTCCACAGTGGCTCAGAAGAAGCAATCATTCACAGAGATGTCAAATCCACAAACATATTACTAGACGAGAACTATGTTGCCAAAGTTGCTGATTTCGGGATATCGAAACTCGTGGTTCGTAATCAAGAACCGATCAGTATCAGTACTAACATCAAAGGAACATATGGTTACCTCGATCCTGAGTATCTTCTTACACGCGTCTTGACGGATAAATCAGATGTGTATTCGTTCGGAGTTGTTCTCCTCGAGGTCTTGTGCGCAAGACCAGCTCTCAACAGGCATCTTCCTCCCATGGAACAGAACCTAGCGGACTGGGTTATGTCATGCAAATCCAAAAGAATAGTAGACAGGATCATAGATCCGAGTTTGGTAGGTCAAATCGAGCCAAATATTTTGAGGAAATTCATGGAAGTCGCAGAGAAATGTCTCAAGGATAATGGAGATGCGAGGCCGAGCATGGCAAACGTGAGCTGGGAACTAGAATACATCCTGCGGCTTCAGATGATGGCTATGGCGGTTGTTGAAGATAGTGCCGCGTCTATTTCCAGCTCCTTGGTGATCCCAAGGCTAATGGTGAGTGATTCATTTAGCTGCAACTCCATTGTACAGGAGGATCAAGTGAAGAACAGATATGTAAGTACAGATTCATATACGATTCGTGTTTTTCCCAAGTTAGACAGCAACCGTTACCAAATTAACGAAGATGATGTTGCTCTTTTTTATAAGTAGCTAAGTTGGGAAGTGCCATGTAACGTTACCGTTGGTATACAATTATTCCCAAGATAAATAAAAAGCCAAAAAACAAGCGTCATTTTACAAGTCAAATAATCATCATTTCAGCAAAAGTGTACATAGTAGAGGCTGATTTCTTGAATGGCCTGGAGGTGATAAGAGCTTTTTTTTATATAAAAAGTCATCAATTCGAAGAATATAAGAAATTTTAACATACGCAACAAAATTATGCCTAGCAAAAAGATATTAAAATGAGAAATAACAATTATCACCACAACCAAATTAAAACTGTTTATCAAAGATATCATAATTATAAACTTTTATTTACCAAATAGTTGGGTTATGCTAAAACTGTAAAATAACGGTTATCCAACCAAAATCGTTAAATAATTTCACAATACAGTAAAATAAAATTATTCCGTTAAAACAAATTTTCTTTTACAAAAACCACAAAATATGTTTTCGTCAAAATCGCCAAACTTAGTTTCTCCCACAGCCACAAATTCCCAATTTTCTACCTAATCACAAAATCTTGTTTTTCACCCAAGCAAGCCGGACCTAAATTAACCAATCAGATACATATATCAAAACATGCATTTCTATTCTCGAGAAATAATTTTCTAGAAGTCAAGAGCTTAGAACTCAAATATTTATGGAAGCACCGTAGTTAGGGGTGGGACAGATCCGGATATCCAGGAAATTTGAAGTATCCAGATCCGGATCCGGATTCGTCGGATACGTGGTTTTAGTATTCAGATTCGGGTTCGTGTCTTCCGGATATTTGGGTTCTGGATATCCATCTATATATTGTGATATCCGCGGGTATCCATATTCGGATTCGGATCCATAAAAATAATTTTTTTTTTTTACAAAAAATCAAAAATTCTAAAAATAATATATAAACTAAATATTTAAGCATAATTTATGAATATATATGACATATAATATTATTAATATAAAAATAGAATATTCTTAAATTTATTTTATGTATAAATATTAATATATCAGATATAATTAATAATAAAATAAAAAATTTAATATATTTTAAAAAATACGGATTCGAATCCGGATATCTGGACCAAAAAATTAAGATATCCGGATTCGGATTTGATTTGCATGGATTCAAGATTTTACTATCCTAATTTGGATCCATTTTACTATCCTGATTTGGATCCAGACACCTCCAGATATCCTAATTTCGGAACGGATCCCTGATCGAATCCGGATCCCGGATAAAAGTCCAAGCCCTAACCGTAGTATAGTGGTTAAAGGTTTAAAGAAGTTTTAATATCTAGGTCTAGGGTTCGAAACCCAGACAACACAACTTTTTTGCAAATTATAAAATGCAAATTCATCGGAAGTTCTAAAGTACTGCGGATAGAACCGTGTTCATTAAAATTGTATATGTTACAGGTAATCATATATAATAGAGCTAAGTATAATTATATAATAATGTAATTATTATCCTGTTTAGAGAAAAAAAAAATCCAATTGTTTGTGACGTCCTCTATTGAGTCTTTCTCCTTCTTCTTGATGTTGAATATCATGTACATTTAGGCGCCAGGTTAAGGCTCTTTTTCTGTGTGGGTCATAGATTGGACTTTTGGAGGGCAGCTTTGTTTGATCAAGCGTCAGGGCACTAAGTCGAGAAGTTTCTTTTTCAAGAATTTTTATCTAATGAACTTAATAAGTGTTCCTTTTTTTTTTAATCCCACTACCAAAGCATTTAGTTATCAAATACGAGTTAATGAACCTAATAAATCTTGTCAAGTACGAGTTAATCCCACTACCAAAGCATTTAGTTATCAAATAAAAGAAGAATCAATTGTTGAAATGCTCTATTTTCAAATGATAATATGAGAAGGATACCTTTCAAAGAGAAAATTGTTAATATGGTCCATGATGTCTGTTCAAAAGTTTATTCCTAAGGAGTAACTTATTCTCTTAAATAAGAGATCTATTGTAATATTTAGGATATCGAATCCACAAAGAGATATGGAACATAATAAATCTTGTCAAGTAATAATTTAAGTGAATATAAATAGCAAAAACAATAAATAAGTAAACAAGAAATATCTCTATAATATTATTTGAGAAGTCAGTTTCCTACGTATCGCGTTCACGTTAACTCTCGCGATGGTTGATTACATAGATACCCTTAATGAATTGTTAGATTTTAAGATTATTATTAATTTTTTTAATTTAGTTTTTTTTTAATCTTTTTCCAAATAACATATATAATAAAAAAGGAAATATTTCTAAAATTTTAAAACAAATTTAAAAATGAAATTATATGTATATAATATGACTTTATTAAAAAGGAAAGTTCATAAAATAGTAATACCCCCATTAATATACACATAGTATGACTTTATTAAAAAGAAAAGTTCACAAAATAGTAATAACCCCATTAATATATATTTTAAATAACATAAAATATATTTTCAAAATAATAAAATATATATGTTCATGATCATCCAAAAATTTCTCAGTTACACTTTATTTTCTAATATTTTTTAGAAATTGACATATAATTTGATAATTATTATGAAAATACATGTATATTTAAGCGATAAATAAAACTAATTTGATTTGATTTAACTAAAATAAAGAGTAAATAAATATTATGAAATACATGTATATTTAAGCGATACATAAAACTAATTTGATTTGACTTAACTAAAATAAAAAGTAATTATACGTCAATTGTAAGTTAAAAATATATATAACTCAATATACTCATAAAATGAATGACTCGACTAATCTAATTTATATCCAAAATTAAACATCCAAATAAAATAAGAAAATATAATTTATTATAATAATAATAATAATATATTTAATTTTATACATATAAATTAGAGGTTGATTCAAAACATATTAAAAAAAAAATATTAACCAATTACAATTTAATTCTTTTGTAGAATTTATATATATGCTGAGACTTCAAAATATTATTATTATATTCATTTATGTAATTTTGAATCAAACACTTTAGCTTATTATATATTTCATTTTAAGCACAATATATATTAAGTTATACATAATTAAACCATAGTCTATTTACATATCTAAAAATATATTTACATATCTAAGACAATAACCAACTGAAATGAAAATAAGAAAATTAAACAAAATTTTATTATATTTATAAAGAAAACATTATAGCTGAACTCGAAAAAAAGATATTATCCAATATATCAAATTAATAACCAAACCGACTATTGATCCAAAAAATAATTAAATCGACAATAACATATCCAAAATCATATGTATAATTAGAATAATATAATATTTATTAATATAAATTATACATATAAATTGATTCAAAAATAAAAGTAAATATCAATCAATTCTTATAAAATTTTATTTTTATGAATATGCATACCCGTGCATGAGCACGGGAAAATCACCTAGTTCCAATCAAATAACACAATTACTTAATCGAGAATGGAAACAAAGACTCTTGAAATTAAAATGGAAAAAATGCTAGATTTAAGATTTTTTTTCAGGTATTGAGATTATAATCCTATAGGAGCTATTCTATTGCTTGCAAGTTACTATAGAGCATTACCTATCTTAATTAACTAATTCATTAAACTAACATCCAATAAATAAGTCTAATGACCGTCTGCTCGTACTTGACAGTGTCGAACGATTATTCATAGGAATATCGGTCGATACACTAAACTCATCATCGATCGATTTCCTGTCGAAATATCGATCGATGAGTCCGGTCAAGCGATACACACGAGTTAACATAAACTCACTGAAAACTTCTAAATAAAACTATCGTTATATTTCTAACAATCTTAGCTTAATAGGAATGTATTCAGGACTATAAGAATTGCTTAAATATCTCTAATCCAACCTAAGTAATCCAGGATTCAATGTTTCTAGTTAGCTACTCTAGAACCATGAGCGTTAAGAACATCCTATAAATAAGTATCACAACTAGCAGTCATATAGTTGGGGATAATCCCTCTAACCTATTTAAACCTTAAATATAACAAGTAAACTACTCAGATATAGCTAAGCAGTTCATAACACGGATAAATAAAACTGCATATTATAGATAAATAGATAGGTAGAAAACACTGGAGTTCCAATCTCAAATCTCTCTGATGATCTTCTCTCCAAACTATCAAATCCTAAAACTTTTGCTGTGAAAAGAATACAATAAATTCTCTCTCTTCCTCTAACACTTTGGCAGAATATATAAACTTATGTTAAAACTCGTCAAAGGTAAAATCGTCATTTGGTGATGATTGGACTTCAAGTCAACTTGTCTCTCGAATTGGCTTTTGGGTCTTGATAATCGATCGATCACGCAGAGTGCATGTCGATCGATCCGAGTCTCTCTATGTCGACCTCGTGATCGATTTCAAATCGAATGCATCTTCCAATTTTCTCCAAAATGCTCCAAAAACATCTATTTCTTTCAAAATACTTCTGAACTCATAAATATGCTTAAAAACTTCTATAGTATAGTAAATAGTAGTAAAAACACCAGTATACCATGACTAAAAACAGGTCAAAATCATGGTATATTAACTCCCACAGACTTACCTTTTTGCTTGTCCCCAAGCAAAACAATCAGGTAGTCTCTCTGAAAGAGGTTTGAAAAGAATAGGGACGCACAGATTTAAAAACTTTGAAATCATGACCTCTATAATACTGCAGTCCACATCTAAGACATTCTAATCACAGAACTTCTTTTTTTTTTTTTTTGAACAAAAAAAAAAAAAATCACAGAACTTCAATATGCAATATCCTAGCTTAGCAACCAGGTTCATCTAACCAACAACTTAGCAAATCTATCTGACATTCCCCTCAACTAACCTCATTTCTTTGCATAAAATAAAAGTGCAGGCTTTACCTTGGGAGTATCGATCACATGATGCAAGGAGACTCAAAAAAGTATCTGGATCTGCAGGTAAAAGTTAGTTTCTATATTTTCTCTCTTCTAAGTTATCTCTTGAGTCAAAATCTGCTTATAAGACAAGATTATTGATCAAGATTGGACAGGTTTCCATGAAACAAGCCT